AAGAAACAGACTCACAGACATAGAAAACAAACTTACGGTTACTGGGGCGGGGGGGAGTGGAAAGGGATAAATTTGGAGTTCGAGATTTGCAGATACTAACTAACATACATAAAATAGATAAAGAACAAGTTAATACTGTATAGCACAGGGAACTATACTCAATACCTTCCAGTAACTTATGGTGAAAAAGTGTATGAAAATAAATATATGTATATTCATGTGTGACTGAAGTATTGTGCTGTACATCAGAAACTGATATAACATTGTAAACTAACTATACTTCAATAAAAATATATTTTTTAAAAAGTCCACTCCTCAAAAAATAGCTTATGTTTCTGTATGATATCCAGTAAGTCAAAACCTATAGTAAACTCTCTATGAAACAGAGAATGTAAAAAAGTAGTAAATTAACAGATAAGAGTTTTCTTTAGCAGTAGATGCAAATGTTCTAAAATTATACTGTGCTGATAGTGTACAACTTTGTGACTATACAAAAATCACTGAATTGTACATTTTTAAAGGGTGAATTTTATGGTATGTGAATTTTAACTCAGTATTTTTATTATATAATTAACATGTAACAATGTATAACTTTAAGGTTGATTTACTTATGTATTAGAATGTGATTACCATCAGTTAATATTCTATCACGTCACATAATCATTTCTTTTTTGACAAAAACAGGCAGAGGAGGCAGATGTGGCCAGGAGGCAGTAGTTTACTAACCCCTATCTTGGTATGGGGAACCATTAATCCAAGAATCACACTAATTCTACGATTCCATCTTCCAGTGAAATTAAGACTTACCAGAAAATAGGAAAAATTCTACTATAAAAACTTATAGGCTAGTAATTACATTTAGTCATTTGGATTATAAATCTGTTATCTGGTATCTAGATCAAATCAGAAGAAATCAAACCAGTGACAATGAATTTTTTAAATTCTAAGTAGAAGAAATGTGGGAGAATTTTTAATTTAAATCAAACCCAAAAAAGGCATATAGTAAAACTGTTCATTAAAGGAAACAGATACTAAGATCCTTTTACATTCCTCCCTAAAGCCCACTCACTAAAAAGAACTGTAAAAAATAAACAGAAACAAAGGAAGACAGTATCTACTTGTTAAGGTTTTTAGCCTTAAAAGGACATAAGGTCACCAAAGAAAAATTGCAGTTTGCCCAAATCCTGGCTTGATATTTAGGGCATCT